GGGGGAAGAAGCAAGTCAGGGTGGGAGAGTGGCAGCCAATGCTCTTGCAATGGCAAGGCAGCAGCCACCACTTCCTGCTTGCTCCTGGTCACCTTGAACTCTCCTCTCTCCATGTTTGATTATTTGATTGCTATATGGTTTGATATTTTTGTAAGCAACAGACGGGAAGAAAGGGAGGCAATTTATAAACAGCCAATAGCCTCAAGACGAGAGAAATTTCTAGCAAGACTAGCTAGCCAACTACCCTCCTATGGGGATCAATAAGACAATAAAAGCCCTCAAAACCTGGAGGATGTTTTGGTATTGAACGGCCGAAAAATGGTTCCAAGTTTGGTAGTTTATTTATTTATAGTGCAGTGGTAAATTATAAGGAGATGCCTTTTGTGAGAGCTTTTTATCTCTCCTTTGTGAGAGTTTTTTATCTTTCTTTTGTGAGAGTTTTATTTGTATTTGTTATGGTTTGGTTTTTTCAAGTTTTATTTTATTTTTATTATTTTGAGTTTGCAATCTTAATTAGGATGCATATGCTAGAGTTTCTTCGATCATGCGTGATCGTTAGTGAAGACGCACCAAATTATCTTAATTTTGATGTTAGACCCTCCGTTATTGTAATGGTTCTTTATGACTAGTTTGTATTGACCATTTGTGGCTAGTGATTTTTTTAGCTAAATTACGAATACAATCTTAAAATTTCTTAAAAATTATATATATATAAAAGGAAATTTCTCACACACGTTTGGTACTTAATAGTCAGAAGCAATGGCAAAGTATTTGAGTATATTCTTGCTTGCATAAATGAATAGTACAAGGCTGGCTGCCTGCTCTTGCCTGCCACTGTTTATTGGACCATTAGAACAAAGTCCATGTGCTGTCGATTATTGCTTTAGCAAATTAGGCCTCGAGGAGAGGACTGTGGCGTGGGGATTTTATCCCGGTCCGGTCCTACTGAAATGCGTGCCTCGTGTGTGCATGTATAAGGGTATAACCTTATTTGTGACCAACGATTCAGAGTACACTACGGTCTTGTTTGGTACACCTTCTAGACTTAAACTGGCTTGTATTAACTTTTATGCCATCTTTGTTTTACTTGGTACTAATGAATTTTAAGTGGGATTACTAGTACTGATCCAATCAAAAACACCTCCTTAGGTGGTATATATTAGTGAAGCCCGTGTAGAAAGGGGGACAAATAGTCCCTCGTAATCGTCAAGTGCTGCAACCGTTCCAAACCTTCCACCATCGCAGCCAGAACAAAAATACCTAAGAGAAAGAAGGTGCATTTCATATTCTTGTATGTATACCATCATGCTTCTTCATCAAATTTTTGAGAAACAACAAAAATGTGACTAGAAACCAAACTCCAAGAACATTCAAATTCAGATCCATTCAAAACTCAGCCCCAAATCCAAAACTATAAAATTGGACTTCCATTCAAAACTCAGATGATAAGAAAAACTACCATCATAGCCATACGATTTTAGTTGGCACCAATGGCTGACGACGAAGACTTCATAGCTCAGACTTAGGGTTGTAGGCGACGACGACGGCTTTGCGAGCAGAGGGAGAAAAGGAGAAAACGAGTAAATGAGGAAAATGAGAGAAAACTGATGTAGAACAGATGACAGATTTTATCGCGGTTGAGCAAGAAAAGGGACGTGGTGGGAATTTGCAGAATTGTCGTCCGAGCTCCGATTAGGGAGCAAAATACCATTTCGGAAAGGGAACGATGCCACGAGTCAAACTCACGGCTTTGCCGTGATGTACGATGGATTTTGGCATTCTGGAGTCGTTTGGCCTTTCAAAACTGTATTCAAAGTTCGAAGTTAATTCCAAATAAATTTTGTTTTTCCGTTTCGGAGTTACATAGTTAATTCCCAAAATAAATTCT